GGTGTTACCATCTATCACGATGTGAAGTTGTTACCAACTATACCAAGTCGCGGTATACATTCCAGGTATGCTTACATGGACCAGTTTCAATTTCCGTTTTCTCTTGTCCAACGAAATCTATAGCCAATTGATGTTTTTCAGCAAACCCATATTTGAGGCCATGGAAGTATATTTTTTAATCAGTGTGCTTTTCAGAGACCTATCCTTGTCCGGGTTGGTTTGAAGGTGACTACTCGCGTGGTTACTTAGTTCCCATTGCTGATTGTAGATCTTCGATTTACACCCTACTGCTTCAGCCGTTTCTCATATCAGACGTTCGTTAGGTGATAAAACGTGACCTGTTTGTTACTATAGTACTAAAATGGATAAAATAACACTGAAGAGTTCATCATTTACTCGCGAAAAATCTATTGAGATCAACCTATGCTAAGTAACAAGTTGTTATCGTCAACTCGAGGAAAACACAATGAGAAATCAACAAACTTGAGACTCTGGTAAAGATTCAATCCATTTACCCCATTGAATAACAGGGCATTGCTGGATATTTTAAATCGTACTCTACCGGATTGGTGTTCAGTGAGTGACTGGCAAATACCGAGTTTCGAATGCAAGGCCGGGATATCAGCGTTTACTGGTGGAATAATCAGTCGAGAAATAATAGATCCGTTTTACAACATCAACGTCAAATTATGTGCAACCCGTTCAGCGAGCACAGCCAGTCTGACAAGATAAACAGAAAGTTGGGAAGAAGCCCATCTCAGGGCCAGTGAAAGGAGAGCTGTGATGAGCATGCAGCGCGATAGCCATCTAAGGAATACGACTAATCAGTCAAGGTAATGCGGTAGTAGATGAATGTCACCGACTCATACAGAGGCCATGCAAAAAGGCTTCTTCATGAATCGTAGGGTGCCACGGGTGGGACAGCAAACAGGATGCTGACGAAGAGATTTAGTGGTTGTTAACAATCACGTGGTGAAGGCTGTTCAAGCGGTCTAGGTCAAAACATTCATATTCCGGGTAAGTGACCGGGGTCAAGGGCGAGCTGGTGGTAGAAGCGATCGGGGTTTGGCGAGACGCTAGGCAACCCAGCTACTAGTCACGCTTGAGGTGGGTGGAATGATGTGAGTGGCAAGCTCAACGACGTTTGAACCGTAAAAACATTCATGGGGTATCTAACCGGAGTGATCATTGAGCAACAGAGCAGTGGGTGAGTGACTTGAGGCCAGAAATGTGTCAAGGTGGCTGGTTGATTTTAAACCGAACAATGTACGTCTTTCTACGGATTATTTTGGTGGTTTTGCTGTGCTTTAATTATGTCATCAATCAAATGCTGATAGGTTCGAACGTCTGTCGATGCGTAAACCACGTCAATCGATTTCGAACCAATCACATTAAATTGTTGTAATGGTTGAAAATAAAGATCGGATAAGATAACTGGCATTCAAGCTCACGAGTCAAATACCGAAGACCACGATATTGACAACCGAAGAAGGTTCGCCACCGATTCTGTCGTCGTAAACCTATTTATTTCCTATTCTATTTAGACGGGTAGCAATGTACTATATCAAGGCGAAATGGATCGTGTTTATGATGACAAAAGCTGAACTAAAACGACATCGCGCTCGGGTTCAAAGCGGTTGGTTTTGCGTGGGGAGGGGGGGGGGGGTTGTTGTCGTTCAAACCATTTTCATCCATATATCCAACTGGTGCACAGTAAAAAGACTTGCACCCAGACGTGGTAGAAGGCGTCCTTCGCCTAGTGGTTCTCGGCAATCGATACTTACGTAGTCTGGCCCAAGTGGGATGGAGTGGGCGGGTTAGTAACCTAGACGTAAGTTGTCGGGTGTTTGAGAATGCATCGAACTCGCTATCGCATCGAATTCGGCTGAATAAGCTCCTTCGGTTAGGACACGCTTTGTTTATATCTAACGATTATCTACCGCACCACGCCTTGATTGCACTGGTCACTGCAGACTGGAGAAAGCTCCGTGAAAGCCAGCAGATGACATGGACACGAGGCATGAAGAAATACACAGAAGGATTAGGTAGATTAAGTATCTCTCGTCTTCCGATTTGGGGGTGAAAGGAACCTGTAACTGGGTGGTTGTAGACTCTGGAGTTCACGGCAGCAAACCGATAGCAGTGGCAATTTTGTTGTCACTTCTTATCAGTCCAGAATGCTTAAAATAGTGTGTGTGTGTGTGTGTATGTGTGTGTGTGTGTGTGTGTGTGTGCATAGTTTGTTTGAGTACTCAATGTGTTGACCATAGAGGTCCGTTTTCCTTCTCGTCCATACAAATAGGCCTAATGCCAATCCTCCTTACACAGTCTCACCTTGTATGCATTATGAGTTTGGCAGCGATTAGTGAAGTTCGCTTCACTGTACTACACTGTACGATGATGATGGTGAATAGTTTATCTTCAAATGGTTTCACCTTAATGATGAACTATTTGCACTTTCCTTTGATCGTTTGACATTGTTTGCCTATTCAAATACCTGTGCTGAAAGCAATGTTCGGCATTCATTTTTTGTAAAATAAATTCCTGATCTCCAATTACGAGGTCTGATAGAACTGTATTGATGTTTCAGGTTGTGGTTGATTTGTGTTCTGTCAGACATCTTTTTGGCATTTGTGCTACCTCATAGGGATAGTATAACTGTCGTCAGTAAAACAATAAACTCAAGTGCTGAATGTAGAACGATGATATCTCTAAGATTTTGCTATGGCCTGCCGTATCTGTTGTATTTCACCGCCTTTTGGGGTTAACTGGAAGAGTCGCGGGCAAACGAAAACCTAACGATGATTTCCGTGGATATCACACGTAATAAATGGGGTCAAATCACGGTTTGCATGAGGTCTCCATCATTTTAGCTGTAACCATTATCATTTTAAAGTATTTGTTATGTTCCTTAGTGCAGCTTTCCCACAACTTTTGACTCTGTTCTCGTCTTGATTGGATACGCGACAGCAGTGCGTTCTTCCCGAACAGTCAGCAAATCATGGGCACATTCCATACTCAAGAAGTTGCTTAATTAATGACGGAAGTGAAGTCCAAGAGCTGGCCACACGCAAGTACAAGGCTGACAACCTTCCTAGGACTAAAACCTTCGGCGTTGATGTGACGTTTCACCAAAAACGAAAAGTCGTTCATATCTTGCCACTGTGTAATAAGTTCCGCTTACGGCCATTAAAGTTCAAAATTTACCACTCGAAGTTATCTGTAGACTAGAGCTTTTCAATAATCGATAGTTACGTAATTCGGCTCAGGTGGGATGGGGTGAGTGGATTAGTAACTGTGTGTTGGAGAATGTATCAGTCCACGGATCATTATCATGTCAAATTCAGGTTAGTAAGCTTCCCCGGTTTAAGCATGTATTGTACATTACTATCAATAATGTGCTACACGGCGCATTGTTTGCGGCTGGCGTTACCGATAGGAGGAGGAAATCGCGTGAAGGCCAATAGATGGTGTATGGGCGATTCATGAAGAATTTCACAGAACAGTTAGGTGGAGTGAGTGTCTTCCGTCCTCCAAACTCGAGTTAACAGGATCCTGGTTGAGAGACACATAAACAAATGGCGACCAACCGACAGCAGTGAAGTTCGTGTTATTACTTCCAATCAGTACAGAATGGCTGAAAGGTTGTGTGCATTGTTAAATTGTGCACTCAGTTCATGGACCATAAAAGGTCACGTCCCCCCTCACCTTACACATTCTCGCTTACTTTACATGCATTGTGGTTTGGGCGGCGCTAAATGAAATTTGCTCCCCTGTATCTTACTGCATGGTGATAATGATATATAGCCTCGTTCGTCTGTTCACTGTGGTATTGCGCTCTAGTGCTTTGAATTTTGATGTTTGTAGAGCCCAGCCATGCTTCAACGTTGACGCTTGCCGAATACATAATCGGCTGTTGGCAGTTGATTATTAGCACCACTTGAATAATTTCTTTCATCTGATGTGGTAATTGAACATTTTTCTGCCGGTGCAGTAAACAGTCCATCTCAAAACTGTGTTACCGTCATCCGGCATGCATTTCTTGCCATCATGATGAGAACAAAAAATATTTACAATGGTTTCATAGACTTTACCCCCCCCTCAATGTTTACGTGTTCGAACTGGTAATCTGCTGGTCTGATTTCGATTCGATTTGAGACGTCTGGTTGGCAAGTTCTTGTCTAGCCGACTGGAATCATCCATACGTCACTTTTTCTCAGGTCTGCGAGCCTCCTTGGAACAGTGTCTGTCTCCTTGTATGCTGTTCCCAGTCTGAAATTCAACAGTCCGTTCAAACTGCCTGTTGATACTGTGACCTCGTTTTTCTTCGGCACATCTGTTTGGTCCGTCTATTTTCAATAACTGACGTAACCACTAGTTCTATGCACATCGAACTCTGTGATGTCTGCTTTTGGAACGGAGTTTTTCCAACCTATATGGGATTAATCGTCACTCACGTGACCCCCATACTGAACAAGCTGATCTGATTTATTGACAATCGGTAGATGATAGTGACCTACTTTTCACTCACATGATTCGTTGTTCCTCTTGTCCAAACCCAGTTACTGGTTCATCGCGTTCTTAGTTGCCAACACACACAAGCGCATAAGCAAAACGATCGCTGTGCTATATACTCAAACGTTGCTCTCTAAGAACAATCAAACCTTTTGTTCGATAATCGTTACGCCTGTTCCATTTCTAGTTTCTGATGCTAAAATTTAAATTAAATTAAAATTTTTTTCAGAATTAAATTAGAGCATAATTACGTTGTAGCCTCCGCATTGTTTTCAGTTTTGTCCGCCTCGTTATTTGTTCCCGGTCACGGAACTTTTCTACATTTGTGCTTTTCGATGTTAATCCTCAACCCCCCTCCCAGGTAGCATTACTTTGACGTATACTGTGGCTTAATACCGTATGATCTTTTTTCCTCAGTTCATTCCTAGTGATTTATCTCCTCTTTGACGTCACTGTTTTTTTCCTTTTAGGTTTCAACCTATCAAATGTCTGTCCTTATGCTATACAATTCTTCCTTATCCTACACCGTGGGTGCGATTCAATCTCAGACTGCTATAGAAATGCCAACTCTCCTACAGATTCTTCAAATTTTATTAAAAGCCAAAGTATTAAAGGTTACCACCGAGTCGGATGTTACACAGAACAGCGAATCGATGACTGATGCTCCTGCGGCCTCCACCGAGGAGTCCAGTGAGCCCCAACTAACACCGGAAACTATTTTGAAACTGTACACAGATTACAAGAAGTATGTCAAACTGTTCTTTTGTTCGGTTTCTCCTTTTATCCAAAATTTCCTAGCTGAACTATCCTCACAAGATATCCAATTAATTCATATCAATCGGGTTGTTGTTTACGAATCAGCAGGTCTGATGTAGTCCCCTTCTCTCAATTCACACAGCCTTGTGAATTCAATTCAATTACTGCCTGGGGTTGTGTTTTTCAGCTAAGTCTTCTTTTCTATATTGCATCAGGCTGCTAATGTGTCGCCTGGTCCCGTGAACAGTGATGCTCTTGAATTCATTTCGTCCTCTCTGTACCAGAATCCAGTTTGTTTGCTCTCGGTTCATACGATTTTTGCTCTATTTTCGATTGTTGAACCGAACTGAAGATATTGAATCACTGGAATTGTGGTTTAAAAATGGAAGATGGTCTTCTGCGGTATTTGTGTAATTCTAGGAAGCTGATATTCATAACTGCCCTGGCCTCATCCCAGGAATATATATATATATCCAAACAACGTCAAATACTCGCCGATCCAAAGCCAGGGAAAGACTCAATAAGAAATTTCTGTCACTGAATCCGACAAAACATGAAGAAGCCAAATTAATGTACCATCTCTCAACGTATCAACTTTCACCAAGGGAACCATCAGTTTTGCTGAAAGGACTGAAATCCAACTGCACAAACGCAAGGCCAACCGATTTCATCGCCTCAGTTGAGGCCGGAATTCGACAGTGTCCACTGATTGAAGAAAAACGACAACAGCTCAGGACGAACGTCTGTCAGCAACTCACACGTCCGAGAGACATGTATCACCTACCACCGGCTGAGATCAAAGCACTAAAAGCACTACGCAAAAATCAAGACAATATCATTTTACCCACGGATAAGGGTAATGCGACTGCGATACTGAAAAAAACGGAGTACAAAAATAACTGGGTAGACTCATCGGTGATTCGGAGACGTATCAACCAGTCATAAGAAACCCTATAACAAATCTACATAACAGGTTGACTAAAAGCTCACAGAACTAAAGAAAAACAACAAACTCAGTGAAAAACAATACAAAGATATCAAACCTNACCACTACGTCCAATCGTTTCTTCAACAACGGCTCCCAACTACCAGCTGGCTAAATATCTCCTTCATTTATTATGCCCATCCACTCCAGAAGACAGCGGTATAAAAAATTCAGTCACATTGCTAGATCGAATAAGAG